TGAGTTTTTTACTATTATTATTACTATTCGATTTAATCGACGTAATGTTACAGTCGCAGATGATGTCAAAAAAATGTAAATCTATATATTATCATCATTTTCATATAGGTAGGTAGTATGTATATTATATACGTATAAGTACAAGGTACGTACATACTCACGAATATCATGGCGTAGGTAATAATATAACGATCCTATATATAGCAGTTCGGCGTTTATATCATAAAAAGTTGACGTATTAAAATAAAAAACCAGTCGATATGTATCAAAACAAATCGTACCACATTTTTTAGATTCTCTGAGCGGAGCCAGGAATGCGTTTATTATATTGGTTTTACGATGCTTTTTTTCTTAATTTTTCTCTACTATCATTTTTTTCTACACTAAGTAATAAGTATTATCACCTACATACGGGTTGAAAGGGATGCACTCGGCCACATATCTTTTTAAACAAAACGTATACTGACAAATCATGAAAACATTGTAAAATTACAACACGTTGAGCCATTTTTGACTGTTTATCGTGCTTTGAAATATTATAATATGATGTGAGGATTGACGTTTTGACAAATTATATATTTAAGTAGATATTGTCGTGACCTTCTTACCTCCCCTCCCGCATTCAAACCAGTCTAGGTTCACTACCGGTAACATTTTTTTTAGAAAAAGTCAACCATGAGTGTCATTAATTTTTATTTCATTTTATATTTTATTGAATAAAAATAATGGGGGATTTCTCAAATCAAAGCTTTCCGTAAAAATTGTATATATTTCTGATTATTTTAGTTTATTTACGTGATTAATTAATATTAACATGTGTCCTAACCTTAACACATATAATAATTGTGCCCCTTAAGTACCTATAGATCTTATACCTACTGGGAATTAAATAAGATATTTTAGATTTACAGATATTGCAAAATTATGAGTAGGTATTCAGTGTATTTAGTATGTAACCATAAAGCTTGAAAATTCAGTATAATATGTCAACCGTATATTGCGCTGTAAGTATAACTGTGTCACTGCGATAATAATAAAAAATAAATATATATTTGATATAGGGATTTAAGTCTGAATGACATTATGACAGTAAATCATTTAAATTATTTGATGACGTTATTTTTCGAGATTTATAAGAATTAAATTTGCAATATTAGATATAGTAGTAATAGGCTTGATATTTAAATAAAACGTCAGTTACTGGCATATTTATTAAAAGTTCAAAATCTGTACATCTGTGATTTTCTTAATATAACTATTTAATATTTATGAAGAATAATATGTAATTTTGTTATATTTAAATGTAAATTGCATTAATGCAATTTAACCATTGGGCTACCAGCCCGTACCATAGTAAAATAAAATAAATAAAAATAATGTGCCTGTAAATTGTGACTTGCATAAAACCAAATTACATTAAGAATAACCCACGCAATCATTTTCCCAGAGGTAAAGAAAATTAAATGTTTTAATATTTGAGACTTTAAAGAAAAACGGTGTCAATTGTTTGGAGGCAAACTGACTCGCCCATGGAATAATGTATAAGTACATGTACATCATATCGCGTGATAGAAACTCTCATTCCTGTAATCGAATTTTTGATTGACTCATACACGCACACAATATACAATATTTACACCTATTTGTGTGTGTTTAAGTTTTAATCACTTATACATTACTATACACAAAACTATTTAATTAAATAATAACGTAACGGGAATACAGCGTTATTTTAGTTACCTAGGTATACTATTAAAGAAGTATGTAAGTGTTTCGCGATCGTTTTTGACATTGACGCGATATTCACTTTTGAATGTCACTCTATGGAAATGTGTCGACTAAACAAAAAAAAACTCAACTCACACCTATATTACAATACGCCCACGCACTGTACGTTACATTTTTACTAGCTATAATATTTAAATCGTGAATTTTTTTATAAATCACGATTTAATAATTAAATGCATGGTAAATAGTGTTAATTATGTTCTTTAATTGTGAGAAGTTCCGGCAGGAGGCTTTGATAATATTAAAATTAGAATTGTCTAATAATAGCATCTTCTAGCTATATGACCTGTAGATATGGGTATAGTTAAAAAAAAATACATCTATGAAAACTATTGCAAAGGAGGAAATACGGCATTACTCATTTCGGTAATCTAAGTAGGTAATACATTTTATGAATGTTTATTTACTATCATTAGATAATCAGTTTTCAGAGATATTCGTTAAGTTATTACTTGGTATAAACGTTATTTTAAAAGTCTTTTATTGATTTATTATTTTTACTATTGTGCCAAAAAAATAAAAAATGTAATATATTCATTGAAAATGTGTTGTATCTACCTACTTCAAAGCTGTATACATTTATTAGATTATTTTCCTTAAAAAACAGACCCTTTTTTTGAATTTGAATGGCTTAAAGTTTTGGTCAAATATGGGTATACCATGCCGAGCATCGATCCACCCAGGAAGTAATGACGTCATGGTTCACCTAGGCAACCCCCGTTTGCTTGAATCGGCCGTATGCACGTGCATATACTGACGTACTTTTTGAAATGTATTTTCGAAATAAAATGTTTCCACATTTTTCGCTATTCTTGTCAAGTCATAGGACAACAGTTAGAGATAGTTTACTAGAAAAATTACAACAGTTTTTTTCAATTTAATTACAGCAATAACAACTGTTTACTGACAAAAGTAAATAATATTTTGTTTTTGATTTGAGATAATACTTATACTAAGTTAGAAAGCGAGTCATGAGCAGAAAATAAAATGGAAATATAATTGTTACTACTTACATTTAAATCTAAATCAAAGAGAACTTTGTGGAATATATATACATACTTATGTATTATATTTATTTTGTATTTAAACCATAAGAAGATCATCAAGAACTGAATATCGAATTCACTGAGCTAAGAGAAATCGTCCATCAGTGGCTAGAAATCTATCCGGAATCTAACAAGAATAAAATTTCTCCACAACATGCGAATTAGACATTAATATTATATATTATATAGTACATAATTGAAATGCATTTATCGAGCAGTAGCTAAACATAAATTACATAACATTATTTCAGTTCCTCGAAGCCGATGTTGCTGTTTAGTATTTTCCACGTTGGCACTAGTACTTGACACATGCGTAGTACAGGAATTTATTTTTTTCTATAAACTTTGAATCGAACGAGTGATTAATGATATTATATGAGACGTTTTGATTTATAATTGGATATAACTATAGTAAAACCTATGTATGCAACGTAAGGAAAACATTTATATAGATATTGAAATCAAATGTCTCTAGTTAAGGTACAACAGCAATAATATGATCTCACGCTAAAATATATCTGTTAGGTCCTAAATAAGTATAGTTACATTGTAACACCTATCGATAAGGCTTATTATGTTGCAGGTTTCGTTCGTGGTCGTGTTTGCATATCGAAAAAAAATTATAAGTTTTCTAGGTGAATGAAATACTCTAGCCAAAATGTCAATCACGGTGACATTTATAATGTAATGAAAAACATTGAATACACGAATATTAGAGAGGTAGACCTCTAGAAAACAAAATATCGTGATCATTCATAAATAATATAGAATCAGATCAGAATTCATTTCCGAAATTATATTTCCAAGGCCTATATGCGACCTGACATTGATTAGAAAATGAGGTTTGTTGTCACCTGACCAGGGCCATATTGTATCAAGTCGTTGACAGTTAATAGAAAACCCTTTGTATTATTCGAATAAAACAATCAAATGTTTTCTGGTACAATTTTATCAATAAGCAATTTATTTAAATGTTAGTGAAACGCATTTATGAAACAAATTATAAAGAATTGATTAATTTTAATTCTGGGACAATCGTGTGCAACATAGTTCACGTTTGCATCATCTGCAAGAAATTATATTATATAAGGACGCATTACAGAATATAATATATTTTTTCAAATTACCTATAGGTACATAAAATATATATTACTTGATGGCCACTTTACCTTGCAGTATAAATATATTATAATAATTCGTTAAATAAGTACCTAAATCAATATGAATACAAGTAAATTTCCTAATTTCTAACGCATATAATACCTATATATAATTACGTGTCGGAGATTAAATCGATTTAATTTCTACAAGCTATCACAAATCACTGTAAACCGATAGAAAAAAAGTTTTCTTTAGAAAATTCCGAGGAAAATTCGATTCGATAATAATATAAACGTTATTTTTTACTTCGGTAAATTATAAGAATTCTCTATAATGTGACTGGTCTGCCACGTGATGCACGACTGACGCTCATCTATATCCGACAACGTGTACCTATATTATTTATTTTAAACAAGCGTATATACGAATCGAATGATTTACATTTTTTTTCTATTTCGCCCGTTATAGGTGTTATATATATATATATTATATATTACATATTAATTGGATGAGTTTTTTACGATTATGATGCACCATCCGCGGATAACCCGGTCCGACCCTGGCATTGATGGTGTGCGCGGAAAATTATTAGTCTGACCCGATTTCTCCCGGACCTCGAGATTTGAAATATTAAAGTTAATTTTGCATTCAAATCGAACATGCTTTAATACATACATATATATATATAATATTGTAGGCTATATATAGTGTATATATTATATTATAGTAAATGGATTCGTATGCACTCATTGAGGTGCGCATTGGGTTAAACGCAGTACATTATCATCTATTGAACAAAGAACAAAGTTGTATGTGTGTGAGTGTTTGTGTCTGTAAATGTGTGCGTGCGTGCGTGTGAGTGTGTGTGTGTGTGATTTCTTAAGGTTCAAGGATCTCCAGTACGGGTCTCGTCCGGCGCCGCAACCTGAATGTTTCCTCTAAGTAGTAAGTACTATAATAAACCCTTGTTCTCTGTAAATATTCACTACATCGCCAGACCAAAGCACTTTTCGAAGAGACAGACAACACAATACTATAAGTATGTACGTAACATTTTCAACCCACCTTATAGTAACTGCTAGGATTACTATTATCACAGCGACGAGCACCATGGCGATGAGGACACCGCACACCATGTATACTCCTTCGTTCGGAACATCTAGACAAGAAAACAAAATAACACAACAATTATTATTACATTCATTTATTTATTATTGTTATCAATATACTATATAAGTCTTATCAAAAAACCACTTGAGTTCAAATGACAATCGAATAAGATCTGATTTTGTATTAATGAAAAAGCTACAAATAACATAGGTTACGGTCAGAGCATGCGTACATCGTATTTTATCAATATTATACTCATATTTAGTGTGAATTACACATATTTTATCTGAAATCCATTCGTTATTAAATGCTAATTTTATTGTTTTACAATAAGTTTTACTGAAGACGATAATTGCGATGTATTGAAAATATTGTAGTATTTTAATTTGATAAAAACATTGTTAACCGCTTCATTAGATGTTTAGTCGACAGTTGTATTTGACAACGTGTATACTTGTAGGTATATAGTGGTTTGCCTCGGGAATAAAGTATTTACGTTTGTGAAATATTTATATTATATACGTTTCTTGGGGCTAAAATAAGTTCTTTATGCATTTTTTCCTTCGTTAGTATATAATGGCGCAGACGGGATCATCGACTCTTCTCCGCAGGTCACTAACTTCCTCTCTTCTGTCTCCCTCCTCTCACGCGCTTTGTCCGCATGCACTGCCAGACGCACATTATTCAGGGCTTCTCATCCCTACGTTTTCATTCGAAATCACATTTTTACAACTGCGTTATGCAATCGGGGTTTTTTAAGGTTATAAATTATAATACTCATATGCCCCTGGAATTATTATTCACATTAAATAAATATAAAAGGTTTTTCAAATTATATTTATAAGTATAGTTATTGGTTCACTAACTGTATCAATTGTTAGGAACCTTGATTTGTGTTTTTTCATTGCTTGCCTCATCGGTGGTTTTGTGTTTTGTATATAAAAAAAAATAAAAATAATACCATGTTCAGCATTTTACCAAACCCACGTGTAACGCTATACGTGCCTACTAAATACGCCTCCAGTGTTTCTTTTACACATACAACTTGGTATTATGCATTTAAATAAAATATGTAACAATCTTATCGAGGGTATTGGGCCGGAGGGTTTGAAACTTAAAACATTTCAATATCGTTTTTACTGCAGTGTTTGTGCTGCTGCAGCTGCTGCAGTTGTGGGCATACTGAATGTACATGTTCTCATATCAATTTATAGTATTTAATGATTGATTAGATGTATTTTTTTTATATCTATTATTATTCAACGATATTTCAGTGACATTAATTATTTTGAGGTTACGAGTTCGAGGATCACCACCTACTGATCGTGATTAGGTAGAGTAGTCTGTAACTGGTATAATATAACAGTTATCTATCGAGTGGTAGGTCGTATATGCTATATGGGTACCACAGTTTCATTTCAAACTATCTAAAGTCATAATAAGCATGCTATTATAATTGATTATTTCATGTTAATATGTATAATACATAAAATGAGATTTAATGGGATTTTTAAATATTGTACTAGTAGACAATATTATAATATCAGACAGCTCGTACAGGAAGTATAAATGTGTAGTAGCCGGTAGGTACCTATACCTACTAATCTATACTATATAGTGACTATACTGACTATGATATAACAAACGTTTGCGCAACGGGAAAAAAAACGTAGGTATTTTGAATGTTCTATTATCCAGCTGAGGTTCAGTCCAAAAGTCACGATAAGAGATTTTAATGTGTCTTAAGAGCAATATTGTACTTATCTGCATATTATCAGCATGGGCGCAACGCAACTATATAATATGAGAGTATCTTTTTATTACATATAAGTACTCAAAACATTTTGATGTTAACATATTTTGAATTGAATTGTACGTTTGAATGGTTTATTATGCAAGAGAAAAACTTTTATATTTTATTAATTATGATTTTAAGAGTGCTAATTAATTTACCTAAAAACTGTAATAATAATAATAATAATAATAATAATTTTAATACTAACATTTTTTTTTTTAGATATTTATGTGTTAAATTCAATAGTATTTCAATACGTATTTTACTTGGGTACCTATACTGTAAATAATTATCTATGTATCAAAAAATGTAATTAATCATATATGTTTTAATAAATTTGATTTTATCTAAAAAATAGAAATGTTATTATGAATAAAAAAGCTGTTTATTTTTTAAATTCCAAGTGATTCGGGGAACGACTTACACACATTTCTACATATATGTACCCGATTTTAGACGAAAATAGTGTAAATTATACATCAATGTCACTATGTCAATAAATTTAGATATTAGGACATTAGGTTAAGTTAGGTTAGAAGTGTTCCATCAACATCAAAGAAATTATTTCAATTATGAGATTCAAATAAAGTGGATCGATTGGCAACCTAGTAATATCTTATACTATCGAGGTTTTACCTCACGTGTTAATTATTGAAATTAATACCAAAGTATAAAGTAATGATTGGTAATGTGGTCGTTGCATTAGATACCTTTATGCAACAATGCAATAATTTGTAACATGCTTAATGCATATAGCATATTATGTACCATTACAAATAGTAGGTATAGGTAGACCACTTTAACGATTAATTATCAATGAGTTTAAATAAATCCATCCTCGAACTGCAATAAATAACAAACACGTAGTTAAATTATTTTTAAATAATAAGCAATTAAATGCCTTTATAAAAATGGACAAACAATAAATTGTGGTTAGGTAACAACAAATTATCATTACATTTAACTTCTGCAAAATATTTAAATGTATTATGAATAAGAATATAGGTACGTACATTTAATTCAAAAATATAAATATAGGTACAATCTGTATAGAAAATTACTTAATAATCATAAGTTATGGAAAAAAGGGTATACATTGAATGTGTATAAGTCCTGAGGTATCCTCGGTATTTCCTCTTTAGGCGACAAGGTGGATTTTTAGAGAGATCATTGTAAGCGAAGTTCGAAATCAGAAGATTACAATGTCCGCATGTAGGCGATTTGTTAATCTCTTATAGTGCCGTTAGTATAGACGGAGATTTGATGGAATTTTTGGTGAACTAGTATTTTATTGCAGAAGTTACTCTCGTTGGTATCCTATTATGATTACTGCCCATGAACAAGATGGATTAATTTCACTATAGTTTCGTTCATAATGTCCATCTTGAATTTGATGAAAATCACATCATTGAGTATAGGTACTGAACTACTGTATCGTATTTGTGTAATGTATCTCATTAAAAACTTGAAACAAATTATTAAAATAATTATTTACCAATAAAACTATAAACGTATAAATGTGTTGTTATATTTTGAGATCTTAACAATTGATATAAAACTATTTTTGTTTTGTTTTTTGCGAGGGGGGGTTAAGCCAGTTATAATTTACAATTACATAATGTAATGATTAAAAAAAAAAAATAATTAGAAACTGTATAACTTCTTACCATCACAAAACATAATATCGCTATAAATAACAACAATGGATTTATAGTTTATTGTATACAGCCTACAATCAATAATTACGTCTTATTTGACCAAAGTCAAATAATGGTTCACAAAAACGTTGCAAGTAATCGAAAAACGTGAGGGTAGCTTCAAAGAAAAATAAATTTAATCTATATTGAATTGATAAATCCAATACACTGCTTTACATATAATATAAATTAATTATAAATCAAAAATTAAAACTTTTTAAACTAAAACCAATAGGTATATTATAACTATAATTGAATGTATTATCGCACTGCAATCTCTTATAAAATAAAACCAGTTAGTCTCTTATAAACTACAATTTTACGAGACTGCTAAATTATAGTTACTTATTTTTGTAAATACCTAAGGGCATCTTATAAACTATAGGTATGATTATGATAAATTGTAATACATAATAATTATCACGATTGCTTTTGGTTGACATTTTGTCACTTAATGAAGAGTTTTACAACATATGGGTCTGAGTGATGATAACCGTAATACCGGGAACTATAATTATATGTATGCAATTATCTTTTGTCATTGTTCAATTATAGATAATATAGATTGTCTGGAATATTCAATTACTCATTAATTGTTTTTTATCGTTTTAAGTGATAATGAAATTGAGTATAATGACTAAACTTGAACAATCATTAAAAAATAAAACCTGATTATGATAATTGGATAGCCTAAAGAGCAAACATTTAAGTATTCACATATCATTATAGGTTATTTTAAAATGCATCGAATACAATTGCAATACCTACCCAATAAGATTTCAAATAAAGGGCATTAGAAATAATTTAACTACCCATCTGCAATGTACTCGTATTACGCCTAGGTAATTAAAAATTACATTTGATTTTGAAATACAATTACTATTATTTATTTTTTCGTTGGTGTGACCTGTACTTATTATAATGTATTAATGTCATATATTCAAATGTATCTGTTGTGTTTTATTTATTGGGTTATCTGATTGCAGATTGCAATAAAAAAAATATTTTGTAAATTTATATGGATGAAATTTTACTGTTATCTAAATTCCAAATATATGACATTATTTTTTTTTAAATTTAAAATACGATCTCACAGTTGTTTCATAGTTCTACTTATATTACACAGGTCAAGCAACAGTTGGATTATGATTTCGCTAAAATGTAAATGTTTTAACCAAGAAGATTAGACGAAGCAATCATTTAAAATATAATATTCAGTTGGTTAATTACCAAACATTTTCGAGCAGATATTTAAGTACATAAATCATAATATTCTGATGCGTATAACTGTATAGGTATTATATTAATTTCATGTTTATATTTATTCATACTTAATACATAAAAAATTGATGACGTTTTAGATTATTAAGCTTAGTAATTTAAACAATCTATAACTACTATAACTATTTAAATCACGGTGTTTACTCTGGTATTACGATTCGAAATGTTATTCTTTGTTGTTATTAGTGATTAATTTTTTTTTGTAAATATTGTGTTACTCTAGAGAATGACGTAAAGTGGCAAATAATATTTCACTTGTTAAGTTATAAATTATGTCATCATTAATTAAAGTATTCGGTAAAAATGTATTAATATATATTTACATTTTACACTTTTGTGCTGGTAGATATGATAACAATCTTAATATGTTCTATGTTATAGATACCTGATTAAAAACAAAATCAAATTATGATTTTATAAAATAAACATTGGCTCAATAAATGTACCTATACTGGTACTTATCCATTTTTTTTAGTACACTTTTCTAAAATCGATTGGATACTATTTTTTTCTAGCAATTTACTGATTACTGATACCAGACATGCATTGTATAACTAATAGCAGTAATAACTACCTAGTAAGTAATAACACATTTATCCAAGATGCGAAGTTATAATATATATATAAGTCTTTTCGAGTTCAACATAAAAATTATTAATTGTCAAATACAGTATAGGTGTCTTCCAAAAACTAGTTAAAAGTAGGTATGGGAGATGTGTTGATTGACGTTTGCCAATTCATTTTATATCTATACTAAAAAAATCTTAACGTCATGTTTGTGTCAAGTGTATATTTTAAGGTTAATTTATATTAAACTGTATCGATCTATGTCGAGTATAAAACTAAACAGTTTAAATATTAAATACTAAATAGTTAATATTATATGTAAATATTATTGACATAGGTATTGATTATGGGGATAATAACAAATTAAATCAAAGATAATTGTTTTTAACCTGCTACCTGCGTCATAGAAATCCCCAATTGAAAGTTTAAGTGTTCAGATTTAACGGATTTGTAGTTCCTTATAAGATACAAATAAATACGTTTGCGTTATGTTTTAATACACCTAATAATATACTTATTATTAAAAATATGTTTGTAAACACGTCAGATGCAACCAAACACAGGCATAATTTATGAACACGATAATGAAAAATTACTTTATAAATGTATAAGCACTAAACAGTGACGCAACTAGTCAACTAGGACTCCGGTATATTTTTTAATGAATGAACCCAAATTTATGTTTTTTTTAGTTTTCGACGCTTATCCTATAGTAAGCAATATATTTTAGGGACGGTAAAATATCGATTTATAGGATTCTAATATATTTCATGACACAAAATATATACATACCTACATTTTTTCAAATTAAAATAATATAGTACCTATCTAAGTTTTAAATTTAAATTTTTTATTGTTATATTATATTAACTATTTATTAGTATACCAATTATCTAAATATATAATTTACACTTTAGAGATTATGTTGTTGAAAGAATTTTTTGATTTTTATACTTCCTGCTGTGTCAACTAAACTTAAACGTGAAAAAAGGAGTAGATAGTATATATCGGATACCCACGAATTATTTAATCGATACATCCATCAGTGACTATTCACTATTTATAGAATAACACATTAATTTCGATTTCAGATAGTAGATAATACACAATATATTCGTATTTTTAATTTATATATTTCTGCATTGTGCCCTTGATAATTTTGCATTTTTACTATTAACAATTTAACACATCGAATCGCATTTCGTGACTTTTTTTCATACAGCAAAATATTGTGATTTTTATATTTGCTGTGAAACTTTTAATCAAATGAGGAAATATGCTATTATTGGTTTGGCCCGGTAGATCCCCTTATATCAGTTAATGTTGGGGACCTCGGTGATCGACTCTCTCCCTGGTATTTGCGCCGCTAATTATAAATTGTGACATTTAATTATATTTAAAACTTCATTTTAATTTTTAATTAATGGTAAAGAATTTCATCCGATAATACTTTTCTTGTCATATAATTCTTCAAATAGTGTCCTCCATATTATGTATAATATAAAATATTGTCCTCTTTAATTTTTATTGCACTTATACAATGTCATGCGTATAGTTAATTATTACTTTAACTTAATCAAATCAGAAGGCAAGTACAAACAATTGATAATTGATATAATAAACATTGACCATTTAATATTTACTTAGATTTTTATTTTCACAATTATTTAACTTTTGTCTAAATAAAGAGAAACTAATTAACAAGGTTAGGTAATAAATTGTACACACGTAGACTTAATTATATAACATTTCTATGCCAATTTGTTTGTATCGAAAATATTTAATTTTATATAGTAAAACGATTCATGGGCATCAAAACTGACATTGATCACATAGGTATATCTGCATATCGTTATACATAAACAAAAATTTGTACCGCCTACCTAACTAAATACAATAATATATCTAATCCATTTTGACATATTAGTAATTTAACAAATATGATAATGTTTGTGACTTACCGACATGTTCGGAGGAGTATTCTGGATCTAAAAATAAAAAAAATTAAAAATTAATAAAATAGATAAATATAATAATTTTACTAATAAAAGAAATTTAACAATTTTTATCTACACAATTGTTATTATTGTTATTATTACTATCCTTAATATCTACCGACTACCACCTACACGAAACGAATATTTTGCAAAATATTATTAACAGTATAAAAATACATTATTTTATGTTTGACATATTTTTCAGACTACAATGGGTTTTCGTTATGCTTTAGTAACGAATAATGATAATCAGTGTAACGTAACTAGAATGATTACTGCGGAAGTTGATGATGGTACCGTGCGATGTTTCGCATATGTATTTAAATTTCAAATATTAGAGTACATATAAAATGTGTCTGAATTTAAAGTATAGCAGGGAAGCTGTTTTATTTTATATTTATATTACCATGTTAAAATTCCAACACAAATTGCATTTAATTGTACATTTTTCTCACAGCTTTCAGTTTTTATACATTATAGTTTAAAGTCTAAAACATATGTTTTGATTCAAGTATAGTTATTGTTCGTATCACATATTTTTATGGAAAAGACAACAATTATTCACAATTATTGTAATATTTCACATAGTCCGTGACTCCGTGTCATACAGACAATTAATCGTATTAATCTATGCTCTGTGTTTATAATTTCATTTCACTTATCAGGGATACAATTTGCCACGCGAAAAAATTGTAAATCATTTTTTATATATTTGTATTAATGATTATTTGCTTTACCTTCGAAATTTCTGAAAAAAAAAATGATAAATAAAGTACCGGCTGTATGATATGGGGGGGGGGGGGAATATGTCTCTCAAGCAGCCCTCTATATTTGCTCCAATTTATGTACCTTATCAGTATGACATTTTATGATATTATGCCATTAATATATAATATCATAACTACATAGGTACCTATATAGATACTATATATAAAATCTAGTCTTTTAACTTTTTATAGGTACACGTGTAAGTTTATTTTGAAGGCACGAGAAGAATAGGACATCATACACCATAATAATAAATGTATTTAAAACCTCAAGAGAGTCAAATATTATATATATGTAGTTTTTTTGTTTCCTTTATGTTTCCACATTTTGTAGGAATGTAATCTGCACTAGCCAGTAGGTAAGTAGGTACCGGTTAGAAATGATTCTCATCCGTCTATTTTGACATATTTTCGGTCGCAAACCAACACCTAAATAGTACATTAGTACCTCAAGCTTTGTTTTCACTCAAATCAAATGTTAGTCTCTAAGAACCATTTCTATATCCACCATCCCCCGACCACGCTTCGATACCGACCATTACCGAATAAAATAGTTTGCAGATCGATGGAAATATAGCGAATCTTTATATTATATACTCGTAGTTAGCGCATAACATCACTTGCTCTTATACTTTAATACTGTTATTTGTTTTACAAAATGTTAATTGATACCGCAAATTCCAATGCGTAACTAATAAGTAGTCAGACATGAGTTGTTAATATTAACAATATACTATATACACATTACACCTGGTTACGTAGAGGTGGTAGATATAGGTACTTCTATTAACGCGTACACTACACTTTATGTTGAAAATTATTACAATATACATTGACAATTGACATAATAGTATACCTATGTACTGTTAGGCGTTAGCCTAGTCTTAGAGTACATTAGATTTAATGTCACTGTCAATATTAAAATAATAAGCATTATTAATAACGCATTTATGATTTACAAAAAATTGATTCGTCAAGACGTCAAGTACATGACAAATTTTTTTCGAGATTCATTTTTTATTATCTAGAACCATAGAAATTAATAGACTTTAAGACTCAAGTGACAAGTTGTAGGTACACGTCAGAATGGCATCATAATTCATAAATATACATATTAGTTATGTCTTTGTATAATACAGATTATTTTTGAATGACATATTTCGGGACGGAATAAAAAAACTGATATACAACTTGATTTGACCAAATAATAGTTTAAGATACAGCGAAACTCGAGCCTAGGCAAGCTGACGATAATTTTCCATTGAGTTAAGTTAAGTTGATAGAAAATATTTTAAAAAATTTAAAGTTAACAGTTATCCTAATTTTCTCAATTCAGTTAAGTTAAAAGTCATATGGAAACTTATAATTAACTTGAATTATATGTCTATAATTTTTTTTAGTATTACTAGTAGTACAGTTTAAAATAATAATAGGTAAATATTTGTGTAATATGTATCATCAATAACCATTGCATTATATGTATTTAATTAATTATAAATTAACGTAATTTGGATTTGATTAAAAGTAACTCGTTATTTATTACATTTATATTAATAAAAATCAGTTAAATTAAAAATTAAGTACACGATGATTAAATTTAAAAGAGTTAAGTTGAAATATTGAAATTAACCTAACTATAAACTTATCTTCAACTGTTTAACTCGTTTATGCACAGGGCTTGATGAAACCTCTGCTCGTGGACACATTTTAATTTCCGTACGGTGTTCTCTAGTTATATAATATTACGACGGAGAGGTTTCACTGTAGTTGTTAATCAAACGATTATTGGGCATGGCAGGTGTAGAGCAGGACAGACGGATAGTTTAATTTCGTGTTCTACTGAAAGTGTATAATAATATGATACCTATACACCACGGGCGTATACCTAATACTGACGAACAAAAATACGTAAATAAAATAATATAATACCTACGTCTAATGCTATAATAATATGGGAGTGTATAGGTGATTTGTGCTTTACGCACACCGTTACGAGCCAATGCACAAATGCACAATCGCTATAATAATAATATATGATTATGTTATTGCATTTAATATAAATTGTATTTCATTACACACCACGAATACAATAATATGTATATCGAGTTCTACGCCATACAGGTATAATATATTATCATTTGTGTGGCTATAATATGTGAAAAACAACCTCGCTAGAGGAATAAAATAATAATAATCGGCACAGTGTACAGTGGTGATAATGAATACAACGCATATGAAATAAATACACCGCAACGGATATTATATATATATACGTCATAGAGGTATATAATATTGTGTACAGGCGAATTCGCCAACTGTGTGTGTGTGTGTGTGTGTGTGTGTGTGTGTGGGAATATACCGAAATATAAGTTTACATATCTCATCGGAGATATTGTATATTCGTGAAAAATACCCACACCGGAGGTCTTACGTTTCGGTTAAATATTTTCGCCGTCGCGCCCGAGTACGTGTACACATATATATATTACGATATTTTTTCGACGTTCCGATATTGAAAATAATAGTGGCGGCCGGAGAACCGCGCGGCGTCGCGTACGCTGTACAAATGACGCGTACGCGTATATTATTACAACAATAATAAATATTATAAAACAATAATAACGATATAATACAATATGTCCGACGAAAACATATCGCATGGGCATGCCGTTTTAGTGCGCGTGAATGTCACGGGTACCTGGCACAATATGTATATGATGTATACCTGCATACGGGTATACTCGCATATACCTGGGTGTACCTATATTATAATATTGATGCCAAGGGCGCGAAATAATCGGTAACCCGATTATGAATCGAAATCTCGAATATAGAGATCGAAGAGAGCCTGGCGTTGTGACACACACCGTCGCCGGCGCTCGCGCGATATTATAATATTATAATAATATGCGAGCGATCGATGCCGTCTGTGCCGTAGCGCACAAAAAAAGCTGCAGCAAATATGTATATTATTATTATCCGAGTGTAGCGGCGTGTACGATGATGTATGGGTATAGGTACCTATACGCGATTCGCTGGCAAATAGGGACGCCGTTTTGTATCGCGATTACGCAACGTTCAAACGAGGTATATATAGGTGCAAGCGTATATTAACATATTATTATTATTATTATTATTATTATTATTATGATATCGCGATGTGTATACGCGAACGTTATAAGGCTTTCGAGAACACTGCAAACGCGCGGGGGAGAGAGAGAATTGCGATATCGCGGTCGACGAAATTTTACATAACGTCGTCGTCCTGTACATGTGTGTACACCGAACGATCGAATGTAATACGCGTATACAGGTATAATACGTAACGCAGAAACGATATGTAAGCGCACATACCGTATGGATCCGGAGTATGAGGCGTCGAGAGGAATTCGGAAAAATCGAGTCCAGAGATGAAAATATGATGTGCGTATATTACCTATATGTATATACGATGACGTTGTTCAAACGATTTCCTTCGGTTATTACCTGCCCCCAGGAGGGGTTTGGAAAAAAAAAATGGAAAATCGCGTAACGTTCAAAAGTTATATTATTATACCTACTATGTTTTATGTCGAAATAACGAAGGAATTTCTTGGAAATAAAATAGCAATATTATACGCTTAATATACACATATATACCGTACACTGCAGTAATATAGGTAAATAGGTACTCATCCGTCGCGGTCGAGAATAATATTATATAATGACGGGGCAAACATGGTCGAGCAAAAGTACAAAACCAAGTGATACAGTAAACTTTCAGGTAGTTCGAGGACTTTTTTTGTCTGGCGCACTGCTCATATTATAGTCTTAATTCGCTTCTTGGAGATATTTATGTGGTACATCGTCCATGTACCTACATATTATGTAATTGCTATGATCTTTTTTTGGTTTAAAAGACTACCTACGCGATTTCGTGTGCTTCAGCCGAGCTTCCGAAGTCCGTTGATATAAAATCGATTCGTTTATGAATAGTAAAAAGCAATTATTTTAAAGGCACTCGAAATATGGACACGAGACTCAGGAACTATTTTCGCACAAAACTTGGAAATTATTTTTCAGGTCGGCACTGTCTATATATACTATAGTCCCTACCCATTATATTGTATTGAAAAATAATATTACGTACATGCGTCCTAATTTCTAATACGTCGACGCGAAACGTGTAACAATAACGATAATGTCGTAACGACCTAATCTTCTTTCTCGATTTCGATACTGTCG